ACCCTACACAAAACCTGAAGCCCGAAGTGTGAGCCAGGCCTGGCAGCAGTGACGTGGAGTCTCCACTTTTTCTTATTGCCCCCTTTGCAGTTCAAATCTTGCATATTGATTTTTGGTCGGGGTTTGCAGTGTGCGTAGTTCCAGGTCAGGGCAATGACGGCCATTGTTTCAGAGGCTGCGGGCCTGCACAGGCAAGTCCAGGGCAAGTCAAAACATTGCTGTTCTAGCACCCCACGATCAAACGGATCTGCCCGCTGACAGTTGCGTGCTGTGTCTCAGGTGCGCAAGCCCCAGCTGCGGCTGGATGTATCGCCCGACATGGCAGCCTGACAGGTCACGAGTAGCAAAGAAGAAGATTTCAAGTGGGTTGGGTTGCTTCTGGGGTATGCAGTTAGTTGTTTGGGTTGTTCTGTCACAATCACATATGTTACATGAATATATGTAGGATGAAGCTTGAAGTTTTTGCATCTTCGCATTCGTACACACGCATGCATCTATTCTTGATGCGCGCACATACACACATATGCATACGTTTGCGCCTTGGATATTTGGCATCCCTCTCGGGAACCAAACGAAAGAGGGCATCAACATGATGACCTGGACATCACTCCAGTAGATTTCTCATAGTTTTCCATGCATCACTGGCGGCCAAGGTAGCTGGGGCAGATGCATCAATCTGAGCGGAGAATTAGGCCGCTCGCACGCAACCGCAAACCTGGGCAATGTGACGCCCTATATTGAATGCAACACCTGGAGCTTTGCCTGCAAGCTGCTGCCCATCGAGAATGAGGTGATAACACATTCCTGCGCCAAGTGCCACTGAGCTATTCAGTGGCACTTGCTCTACCAGCTTTTTCAAGTCCTATGCCCCTGATTATATGTTCTAGTGTTTCTTAGTGTTGCTAGTTTTGCGTTTAGACTTCATATGAGCTATGAGCTTTGGATTCACTTGAGCACGCACCCAGTCTGCCTGGCCCCAGACATTGGCGAATTCAAAGTCTTCAATTTTTTGCGGCCAAATTCGAAATGTCAAATAGAGGGTTTCACTTGCGTGGTGTGGCGCAGATAGATGCGAAAACGCTTCGAACGCGCTGTGCTCTTTTTGGGCGTGATGCCCAATCGGCCCTATACACTAGCACGCTTCGCACGGTTTCACCTGGAAACAAGCATTGCGAGGGCAAAGTCATGGAGCAGTTGCCTCATTTTGCTGTCACGTGCGTTTCGCGGACTACTCATCACTAGATCAGCATTCATAGTCCGCATCAATCCCGGGTACGGGTAGGGGTGGGCTGCGCCACTTGCTTTGTATTCTTTGGATTGGACTAAGGTTCAACGCACTCGTGTGAAGAGTGTAGGTTTGTCATGCATGCTTCATTGATTTCGCACTTCTCTTCCCTCCTGCTGTATTGCTTAGGGAAGCAATTTTGTTGGGCTGAGTAGAGCATTTCTAAATTACCATGTGCTTTATATTCTTTGGGTTGGGCTAATTTGCAGCGCATGTTTGCAGCGCATGTTTGCAGGTTTGTCGTGGTGGCACACCTGCGTGCTGAATTTGGTTGCCCATCGGGGAAGGCAGATCCAGGAGTGCGGGGCTGTTGTCCTGGGAGAGGTTTGGCTTGGGCTGGCTTTACTGCGGCCCACACTTGAAAAAGAGAAGAGCCTGCACCAAGCCCCCCTTCCGCAAGGTTGTTTGAGGGAGGGCAGGCTCGAACCATAGGATGCACATGAGACAGTCAGAGACAGAGAGAGAGAGAGAGAAAGACGTGCCTTGAGCCCGCGAACGGAACACCATGCAAATGTGTTTATTTACACGCGCAGTTTCCATCTCTGGTATGATGTAGCATATCTTTGGAAGGCGGCAGATTGATTTTCACGACTCAGTTTCAATTGCACTGCTGAAAGCAAGCTCTAAGACAACCATAGGCGACGACAATGTGAACTAGCAGGTTTGCGGTGCTGAAGGATACAGACAAGAGTTCTCGTCAATGTACACAGGCGACATTAAATGTGTCTAAGCGTGTTTGTGTCCAGACTGGTGGAGGGGATTGTGTTGGGCAAACGGCTAGCTTCTATGGCCCCCACTCCCCGACTCGAGTATTAAAGGCTGACTCTCGTAGGTGCAAGGAACCACAACATCTTTCAAACCCCGGCACTTACAGCATTTTTGGGTATATGCGGCAGCGTCAAATGTGCAGTTTGGCCGGTCTGCTTCCCTACAATCCCACAGCCGCTTGGCAAGGGGGAAACATGAAAGGCGAGTATGAAGATCATGGAGGTTGCGCCCCGAGAGTGTGAGTGTTTTGGATGAGGCTTGCCTTCTATGGGTGTAGTGTATTGGATGTGAGTTCCATATCGTTTGAGAAATACCTTTCCATATCAGATGTCCGCACATTTTGTCCTTTGGGTTTTTTCTCCCTGGGTGACACTCGTGTGTGCCAAGGCCGGGGAAGCAATGGATGTAGTGCTTCCCAGCGATGTGCCTGCCTGAGCCGTGGTCTCGCGAGATCAAGGAGCCTGTTGCTTGGAGCAAAGTTGTGATCAGGTATTACTGAATTTAAAGCGCTACACCTCGCGACTGTAGGTGGAAAGCCAGTGTGCGACTGCATCTCAGCCAGTTGTCACGCCCAAGAGATTTCGCCAATCACAAGAGAACACGTTCTTGTTTAGGGTGTCCAAGCATCTCGTCCGGAGGGCGCTTGAGTCTCTGATGTGGTTTCATGCGTAGGTACTTGTGTCATGGCAATGCGCGTGACATGTGAGCTTCGCATCAAATTGCACGACTTTGCTTCAAGCAGATTGGGGTGGCAAAACAGGCGAAAGAGTATGCATCTTTAAATTGCTGTAGAGGTTTCACGAGTCTTTGTCATGCTGCAGCAGCAGGTGCCACAAAATGTGCGAATGGCAAAGAACATATAGACACTGTGCTTAAGATTCATTTTCGCGCCAGCCAGTGCGCAAGGATGGGTCGACGCGGGCAGGGGCGCGAGAAAGACAGGAGCGGGCAGGTGTCCCAGCTCGAGGACCTAATGCGGCGGCGTGGTGTCGACCAAGCTTGGGATGCTCTGGACGAGATGATGCGGGCTGGCCTGCCATCTGATCGCTTCACAGTCTCCCGAATGCTAATGAGAACGCTGGCTGATGGGCGGAAGAACTGGGACGCGGCGAAGATCAATCGCAGTGTAGCCCTGGTTGAACAATTTGTCCAGCAGCAGCCACAAGAGGCAGATGAAGTGCTCTTCAACGCGATGCTAGATACGCATTCAAGAACGAAGGACATTGCAAGACTTGAGGCCACCTACCAGCGCATGCAGGACCTTGGAGTCGAACCCTCACATGTCACCCTAGGGATCCTTGTGAAGGCTTATGGCCAGGTTTGCGACATTAAGAAGGTACTGCAGCTTTGGAATGAGATGAAGGAACAACGCACACAAGCGAATGCGGTGACATATGGCTGCATGATCAACGCCTGTGTGAAGTGCAGCCAGACAGAGAAGGCCCTGCAAATCTTTCGCGACATGCAAAAGCACCACAAGCAATCCAACACCATCTTGTACACCACGCTGATAAAGGGCTGTGGCAATGAGAAAGACCTCAACTCTGCAGTCATGCTCTTTCGCGAGATGAAAGATGAAGGTGTCCCTTACAACACCATAGCATACAATTCCATCATTGATGTGTGCATCAAATGCTCTGAGGTGGTAAAAGCTGAGGAGTTCTTCCAAGAGATGTCTGACGGCACTGTGCAGCCAGATCTCATCACGTACTCCACTCTACTCAAAGGTTACTGCCAAGTTGGCGACCTGGACAAAGCGCTGCAGGTTGCAGCTACGATCAAGGGTTGTGGCATGCAATGCGACGAGCTGGTTTACAACACATTAATGGATGGTTGCGTGAAGGCCAACGATTTGTCTGCCGGTGTTGGGCTGTTTGCAGAGATGGCCTCAGCTGGCATGAAGCCTTCATCCATAACTCACAGCATTTTTCTGCGGCTGTACCAGCGCAACGGCTACAAGGGAAATGCTATGGACGCTGTGGCGCAGTTGTATCAGCATCATGGTCTTGAGAAGCCATCTGGCACTGTGGAGAAGGCCAGCAAGGCAGCAGCCAGGCGGGAGAATCGAAAAGGCCCGAAGAACCAGGCGGCACAGCCCAATGCGGCAAAGCCTGCCTGGAAGCCGTTGCCAGTTGGAACACAGAGGCAACCAGAGCATTCGAGGCCAACAGTACCTTCTTCAATGCCTGTTCCAGTTCAGGCAGTTCCGTTTCATGCAGTTCCGGCCTTCGACAATTCCCAGCGCATGCCTTACGGTGTGATGGTGGGGGAAATGTACGGCATCCCAAGCCGCCCTGCCACCTTCGCGGGCATGGCCTTGGAGGATCTCAGGTGTCAGGGCCATCCAGTTCCGGGTCTCGCGGGTCAGAGTCAGGGGCATTGTGGACAAGGCATTGCGTTCTCTGACAGCCCACGACCGCGCGAGTTCAGGCAATGGTCTCCTGACGATTCGCACTTCATGCGGTAGAGGCCCTTCAGGGACCAAGGCATCTATGCTTCCAAGGCCACGGACCAGGTTGCCTATCACACTGATGTCTCACTTCTGTGTTTTTGCACCAACGGCAAATGTAAGCCATGCGCCAAGGATGCTTTCAAGTTTCAAGGCTAGGTGCCTGATCGTGCAACTGTCAAGATGTGTGATTTGTGTTCCTTGGCTGTTTTGGCGGCTTATAAGGCCCCGTGTGGCTGCTAATGAGAAGGTAAGCGCAAGATGAGCTTCTGGTAGGTTTGTAGAAAAGGAAAGTTCGCAGCTTGGCAGATTTTGGGTTCCCGGGCTTGCAGCATATGTTCTGATGTTCCCCTGTTTTTTTTCTGTTTGGACTCGACACCGACAAGCAAGACCTACCAACACACCGGCTTTTGCGATCGTTCGGCTTCCTGCAGGAGTGCCAAGCCTTCCGCCCCGTGTTGGCCAAGTACCGGCGCAAGCGCCATGCGCCAGGTGCAGGCAGAGTGCGCACGAGTTGAAACATGGCTAAGCGAAAGGAGAACATGTTTAAGGAAAAATGCGTCGGTTGATTTAGGGTTGGTTGTGGGTTGAGTTTTCCTACGTGTCGGCTTGCAAGGGTGCGAGTTTAGGGGCTCGAGGAGGGGGACCAGAGTGGGGACTCGGGGGCTTGGGTTTTGGGTTGGGCCGGTGGGGGGGGGGGAGGGGCGGGGAGGGGGGGAATACATATTTGCTCACCCCCCCCCAGAACCTACCTGTCTAAGTAGAAAATATATAAAACATTCTTCTTTTAAAGGCAGGGGTGTGCATATAGACGCAATAAGTGTGCTGTTGTTACACATATTAACTTAATGTCAATTAGTGTTTGCACATTGTCATGTTCAGTAACAACAGCAAAGAGTTTATAAACTGTCAGGAAAGTTTTAAAACCATGTCAAGGGTTTGACGGTTTCCCTGCAACAAGGCAACACTGGGAGAAGTCTTTACACAGCTTGCTGAGTTACCGCACCCCCCCTCCACCCCCGCGTGTGGGGTTTCGAAATTTTGGATTTAAGCTAATTTCGAGGTTCGACCCGTGCACTTAAGCCCTGCTCCTGTGTCCGCACCTTTGATCGGAGCACATGTCAGAACCGGGGCACGATTGAATGTTTGTTTTTGTGTTTGGGCACTCGTGAAAACAATGCAAAAACCGGCTGCGCTATAGAAAGTGCATTTGGCAGCAACAATGGATGCAAACGCCTTCGTCAAAGCATTTCACTACTCGAAGGGCAGCCTGTCAAATCCTGTGGGGTCACTGTGATTTTTTAATGATTGCTGAATTACCCGGGGGGTAAAATTAACAATATGGATTTAAGGGGCCCGTGTACTTAAGAGTCGGCCCGTTTTCTGAAACCACGGAACTTTGCTTATTTTCAGAATTTGCAAGATTCGGTGGCTTTTTGTGTGACAAGAGCATTTTTTGTTGAATCATTGAGCAACCTTGGCATGGTGCGACCGAGCCGTGTCGCAATCAAAAACGTCGCATGTCAGAAGTGCACAATGTTGTTGTTTTGTTTCGCCGTGGTGGCACATATTGCCAAATGGGGAGCGATGGCAAGGATTAGTGGGAATGCATGGATGATGGTTGATAGTTTATAGCTTAGAGAGAAGGCCGTGAGAATGGGGCTCAGTTCAGCGCTAAGCATATGCAGATGGTGCTGTAGTCAGGGCAGCTAGTAATCCAGGGGGAGCTCCTGCCTTGATCACCGGGCCACATTCCACAAGCACGGCCAGCCAAGAATGTTAGTGCAGCCAAATTTCGTTGAGCACAGACGAATTTCCTTTAGCACGTGCAGAAAAATTGTTGTGGTGCAGCCGGAAATTCCTCATGTGCAGCCAGAGTTCCGTAAGTGCACCCCCACCCCCAAATTTAAGCTAATTAGCCGGCAGCAAAAATTGCTTAAGTGCAGCCAACATTTCCTGGAAATGTTCGGTGCAGCAAAGTTCCTTAAGTGCAGCCAAAATTCCTTAGGTGCAGCCACAATTCCTTAAGTCCCGCCAAAATTCCTCAAGTCCCGGAAAAATTCCTTAAGTCCCGCAAAAATTCCTTAAGTCCCGGAAAAAACACATTAATTTCCGCCAACATTCCTTAAGTCCCGGAAAATTACACCAGCATAGACCCCAGATAGCAATGATTGCACACCAGCACCTCCAACAGCACCCCCCGAAGAGCGTCCCAAACAGCACCCGGCCGTCAATCGAGCACCCGCGCCATCACTAGCACCTCCAACAGCACCCCAAACAGCATCCCAACACAGCACCCGCAGCAGCACTCCAAACTGCATGCCCCCTGCACCCTGCCGTCAATCTCGCAAAAATGCGCCTGCACCGTCACCCTAAGAGCGCCCCAAACAGCACCCTCCCAAACACCCAGCCGCGCCCCAAACAGCATCCCAAAACGCCACCTGCACCAGCACCCCAAGCTGCATGCCCCCTTGCACCCTACCGTCAAGATGCAAAAATGTGCCTGCGCCGTCACCTGCATGCCCGATAGCACCCGGGCGTCAATATCGCAAATTGCGCCCGCACCGTCACCAGCACCTCAAACAGCTCCCCAAACAGCATCCCAAAACACCACCAGCACCAGCACCCCAAACTGCATGCCCCCGTGCACCCTACCGTCAAGATGCAAAAACACGCGTGCACCGTCACCCCCAAAACAGCACCTGCTGGCACCCTACCGTCAATCTTGAAAAGATGCGCCCGCACTGCCATCAGCACCTCAAACAGCCCCCCAATCCGCAAAAACCAGCACCCCAAACTGCACGCCCCTTAGGACCAGCCCATCAATCTCGCAAATCACTTCCCCCTCTTTATTAGAAGTTAGAACCCCTATAGCTTTCACTATCTGGGGAAAAAGGATCCTTAATAAAAATCCTTCATTCCCGCCAAAATTCCTTAAGTCCGGAAAATGTTCCTTAATTCCTGAAAAAATCCATATTCCAGACGAATTAGCTTAAATATCAGGGGGGAGGGGTGAACTTAAGGATTTCGGCCTTTGCCCGAGATGAAGTTCGGGGTGAAATGAATGTTTTTCAAGGAATGAATTAAGGATTTTTCCGGGACTTAAGGATTTTTTCCGGGACTTAAGGAATTTTTGCGGGACTTAAGGAATTGTTCCGGGACTTAAGGAATTTTGGCGGGACTTCAGGAATTGTGGCTGCACTTTAAGGAATTTTGGCTGCACCTAAGGCATTTTGGCTGCACTTAAATGTTGGCTGCGCTTGAGGAATTTGGCTGCGCTTGAGGAATTTTTGCTGTCGGTTAACTAGTTTAAATTTGGGTGGTGCGCTTAAGGAATTTGATCCGCCCTTTTGCCGCACTCAAGGCATGTCTAAACTTTTATTGGCTGTGCCCAAGTAAAAGTCACTTGCGCTGCGGCGTATGTTGAATCTCAAGCCTCTCTTGATACATGGGCTCAGTTGTTGATGTTCCCATTCACCTCAGTTCCACTTTACGCCACTTTGTTTGATGTATGGGCCTGCCTTTTTTGACCTTGACACACGTGAGTACATGTTTATGTGATATTGGGCCTTGCTGCAGTGAATTGCTTGGATCCATGGGTGTTTCCGTGGGGGTTCTGACGAAGGCTGGCGCTGAAACTGGGGTGTGTGCTGCGTTTTTCATGGCTGACATCGCCAATCCCGAAAACACGCCTATCCTCACCAATTGTTCACACCCTGCTTCAATCGGGCTAAACGCGCCAGAAACGTGCTTAAGTGCAGCGGGCGACCTTGATAATTAGCTTACATCCATAATTGGCCTCCCACAAACTGATTCCCTCAAATGGTCTGGGCTGAATGCCACTGACAGGTTATACTGATTTTGCTCTGGTTTGCAACATGTGTGATCTGAGTCAGAAAATGCAAAGAACATTCACCGGGTGTGAGCCTCAAACGCTCCAACAAGGCAATGACATCAAGTCCGTATTTTGCATTGTTCCAAAAATAAATAGCCTTTTCGGGCTGTTCAGCTTCGAAAACACACAAGTTTGAAAACCATTGGGTTTCGGCAACGCTGAAAAAAGCTGACCCTTAAGTACACGCCCCCCCCCCCCTAAATCCATAGTTTTGAAAGCCAACACCCCCGCGCTTCATGATGCCATCTGCCTGCCACATTTTGGCTCAAGGCTCCTGCGTACGTGCATTTATCAGACGATGGGAAAACAAGTGCGCTTTGCTGACTGTGGTACCATCAGGAAACACAACACTGCCTTACACCTGGTCTTTCACCTCTTCCATCTACATTTTATTTCTGCGCCGGGGTAGATCCGCAAAGAGGGGCCTACAAGGTGCACATTGCTGGGATCACCTGGGCCCCCTTATTTGCATGTCCGAAAGCAGAATTCTGAGTGAAGAGGATTTCTATGGCACAGATCTTTCGAGGAACACAAGACTGCCTTCAGCGTATGACGGCCGTGTTAGTTGGTTTCGGTATGAAGACCTGGTAAGGGATTGGATTACATTCACAGTAATCAAGCCTGCAAGACAAGGCCCCCTTCTCAAGAACCTGCTTGTCGAAGACGCAGCCACATTCCGTGAACTCCTGGACAGGAGTACTTTCTCAACTTCCTACGGCTATTTCTTGAAAGGGGTCCAGAATGTTTTCCTGTGTAGATTCCTCAGTTTTTAGCAGTGGGTTCGTGGCTTTCATCAGCAAACTCAAGATTCTCCTTGTCCTGCGAAGGCTTTGGGAAGACACAGCTCCAGAATATTCACATACATCACCAGAGTATATTTAAGCAGTCAATGACGCGAATCAATCATAGTAGTGACTATTACGCAGGGACTGCCGAGAAGGACTTGTATCTTCATTGGCGTATACCTATGAGACCAGAAAGGACCAGTGCTACGACCTTTTTATCCACACCAGAACATCCCTTCAGGGTCCAAGTGTCCGACCAAGCGGCGGACATAGAACAGGATTCTGGGTGGAAGATGACGAAGGCAAGGAAGGTTGTGTCCATCAGACGATGAAGAAGCTTTTGGCAGTTGGAGATGCCTTTTTGTTCTCAAAAGCACAATCCGGCGGCAAGGCCGAAATGGCCGATGATTCCACCACCCCTGGTTCCAAAACGGAAAAGGAAAACCCTTCGAGCGGACCACAAAGGTAAAGGAAAAAACCCATCCTTCGCCGTGGACCGTGGGGCCGATGCATAGGAAGCCACACAGCCTCCTGTCGACATATCGGCAGAGCCTTATCAGGATGATTGGGGCCAATGTGCCTGGCGGTCCTCAGTGGTTGTTTGGCTCTTTTTTCTCTAATCAGCGCGGCGGTTACAAAGCGCATCTAGCAGAAACCACCGAAGAAGTTGATGCGGTCGCCCAAAATGGCTTTACTGCGCATTCACCACCAAATCGAGCTCACGCTCTGGCCAGTAGACTCATGGCGCCCATCGTCAAGCAGTCCGAAAACCCAACCCATGTTATTCTTGACAACGGTTGCGCTAAGTCCATGAGCCA